AAGAGTCTATTCCTGTTTAAATTCACAAGCTCTACTCTAAAAAATGTACAAAGACATACATACATACAAGACAAAAAGACATAAACAGAAATAGACCAAAACAATAAACTATAACCAGGACTTAGATTATACAGTAAAAATGTAATGGAGGTACTCACTGAGTGACGATCTTGAGATGACACCAGTATTGCAGCTGACAGTCTGCTCAACAGGTGCACACTGGGTTCATTTCAACATGGTTTTCCACTCTCAAGTCTTCTCAACCCCACCCAACACAGAATATGGGAGACTGTTTTTGCAGGTGTGTCAGCTAGATGGAATTATGTGTGGTTTTGTGGGGACAAGATTTGACTCCATCATCTTGCATTTTTAAATCATTTTTTAAATAATCGAAGGCATAAAGCACACTTTTCTTATAGCAATTAAGATTATTATTTGAAACAATATGCTAGACTGAACACATCTTGCTGCTTTTTAAGTACATGCTGAATTATGTTGATATGGGGTTAATGAGTTTGATGTACTGTATTAAAGTCAGATGTTACGTTAAGAGGACAATTAGATATTTCTATGAGAATGTACAATTATTTGGTCCCTGGTGGCTTGTTAAGTCCAAAAAAGAAACATGTTGCGTATACAATAGTTCACCCTTGGGTATTGTAAATGAATGGCCAAATGTCAAAAACAGCAGTTGGACTGCTAAGTTAGACTTTAAGCTAAATACAAATTCAGGATAAATCCATGAAAATTTAATGGAAACAAGTAACTTAAAATGTTCTACCAAGCAGTTTATGCTACAAAACCTAATAATAATAAGTGAATAATTAGAGCCAGCCCCAGCATGTCTGGACATACTTAAAGAACAGAAAGACTAGTTCAATTTAACTTATTTTGCCTTTCATCTCTGTGGACTCATTTAGCAAACAAGTCTGGACTGTCCTCTCCCCTGATACCTTCACACTAATGCTTAGTGACAACAAATACTACAACAAAGATGCTTTCATGTATATGTAGAGATCAATAGAAACACACATTGTATAATTTTCTCTTTTTATTCAAAAACACTATAAATCCAAATTTTTCACTTATTATGGATATTCATTTGCATCTGGATTTTCTTTGGCAGTCCTGGGTCACTGAAGTGATCTAGAAAAAAGAGATGTTGGCTTTAATTTAAGAGTACAATTTCACACATAAAAGTACACATTATTATTATTATTAATCAAATAAGATGTTTATGTTTGTTACATGTTTAAAAAACAGAGGACTGAGCTCAAGACAAATTTCAAATTTTAAGCTCAACAATATTTTGAAGAACAATAAATTATTCAATCTAAGAAACAGACTATTTACATGATAAATGTTATGTAGTTCTACCAAGTGGCTTGCAAGAAAGTGTGCAAGTGTCCGATACAAATTTACCTGATGCAAATTCACAAATATCTGTAGGCCTTTTCAGAAACGCATTCCTGTTAAACAGAGACCGAGAGCAAGAGAAAGAGAGAATGTATATATATATATATATAAAGGTTGCATGACCTTGATGGACAAACATAAATAATAATATAATATATAATAATAAAACTGGTTGACCTTAAGAAGTCACTCAGTAACATTTCATAAATATTTTTCATTAGCTATCCGCGTCTTGACCTGGAGTATGTGAGATCACACACAATTTGGGTTTTGCTTTAGAAAAAACAATCACATTTCCCATAGCCTACAATTTATTTAAAGTATCTACTTTATAGTTATGAGTTTCATAAAATTTAAGGCATTGATGTTTGCCTACAAAACCACCATTGGCTCTGCACCACTTTACCTAAATTCATTACTTCAGAGTTATGTGCCCTCTAGAAGCTTGCGTTCTGCAAGTGAACGTCGCTTTATTGTGCCATCTCAAAGAGGCACAAAATCACTTTTACGGACTTTTACATTAAATGTTCCCTCCTGGTGGAATGATCTGCCCAACTCAATCCGAGCAGCTGAGTCCTTAACCATCTTCAAGAATCGGTGAAAAACACATCTGTTCCACCTTTATTTGACCCTCTAACTCTAGCACTCTCTATTCTAATTCTATTCTTTAAAAAAATCCCTTTTAGACTTGCACTCTATTAATTCGCTGCTTGTTTTCTTAAAAAAAAACCTAACACTAGCTTCTCTAATCTTTTTGTATTCTATCTGTTTTCTTTTCATTTATTATACAATTAACAAAAGCAAAAAAGACCTCTAACACTAGCTTGCTCTACTCTTTTTCTATTCTATCTGTTATAGAATAGCAGATAGCAAAAATTATATTATTTATAATAAATAAATATTTTTTAAATTAATTAATTATATAAATTATTTAAAAAAATCTTGCTATGTGTAGGCTACTGCGTTAAGCTAACTGAGACTTGTTATAGCACTTGTATATCATTGCTCTTTTGTTGATTTTGATTGCTTCCATTGTCCTCATTTGTAAGTCGCTTTGGATAAAAGCATCTGCTAGTGCTAAATGACTAAATGTAAATGTACGAGGTTAACTATCCTAGTAGAACTTCACATAGCACCAATAAAATCTGCAGACTCGTTATTAAATTTCGGCAGAAGAAAATGAAATACTTTGAACTGATGCAGCTTCTCCTGCTGCTCGGGGCTCAAGTTTTTCCAGTGTTTCTTCTTTTTTCGTTTTTTTTTTTTGCGTCTATGCGCTACTGCCCCTAAGCACCTCTGTTGACGTGAGATAAATAAATATTTATGTTTATTATGTCTAATTCTCAAATTTTTAGCTTTCTATTGTTGTATTTTTCCTATTATTAGAATTTGTGCTAACTTGTTTGATGTTGATACTTGATTATGCTACTTTGTTTTAATTGGCTACAGTAGTTTTTATGCAAATAAGTAAATAATTAATAAACAAACAGTTCATCACAAAATAAGCCAACAACAATAAAGAGGTGACTTGGTAAATTCACTGAATTATTATGTCATTCGCTCTAGCAGTCTACAAACCGAGACAGATGGCATGTAAGGCTGTTGCCCACAGGTAAGTGAGATTTTATTTGTTTACAACGCGATATTTCTTAGCTAGTTTCTAGTAACCACTTCTAAATCTTTCTCCAGTTCACGTAGACAAGGTCGCTTGCTTATAGCTAACCGTACAATCAACCAAACGGCGAAATTCAACATGTAAAATAAATAAATACAATTTTGCGCTTGCCGAGTCGCGTTATCGTCTATTCCAAGAAAAGTCTGAAAGCACTTCTTGTTCAAACACGTTCACAAATCCAAGTGTAGGCATTAGTTTGAATCGCTTGTGACTCGACAGATTCAAAGACTTGAGTAAAAGGCATAGGTTAAATGGCAGTTTCATAATAAAAATATATAAAAAAGATTAAAAAAGAGCTACAAAGATGGAAAATTGCTATAAAAATGCCCAGAACTACGAGCAAACACGATTTACAGGACTGAGCAAAGATGAACACAATGATTAAAACTTTGTAGAGTGACCTCTTGTGGTAATATTCCACTTTGTGTAAAAACACAATGTGTAACAACAGAAGAGACAGGGATCTATTGTAAATTCTGGGAGGAAATACAGTTATAACCTTTATATTAGACTTCATATATAATATAATATAATATAATACAGGTACAACAGTGATCATATTTAGTAAAACTCTGATATTTTACTGTTTGTGCCACTTTTAGTGTGTCTGTGTTTTCTCTCACTCTAAGAGTGGTGTTTCTCGAACCAGTGAGAAATAGGAAATGTGTAGTGGAAGTGTAGCAACATGATTACAGAACTTATTGAACAAAGAGATGAAGTTGATGTTGTTCCACATCCACATACTCTGTTGTGTGTTCTGTGGCAACACCAAAAATGTGATATTGCTATATTGATGGGTATGGTTTTATACAATATTGATTAACTTGAGTAAAATTAAGTAACTTGAGTAAATTAATGAATGATTCAGTAACTCATTTATACAAAAGACATTCAATACAAAACCCTCACTTGTCATCACCTATTAGAGTGACCAAGTTAGTTGCAGAAGGAATCAATGAAAAAAGGTTCAAAATGGATCTTGCAAACACAGACAAGCGGAGTGATACAAACAGTGAAAAATCCCAGTTTTGGACTCTATATAATATAATATAATATAATATAATATGTGTTACATTATAGGATAATGTGTTATGACTCCACGCCATGTGTTCTTGTTTCTAGGGCAATTACAGTTGCCTCCTCAGGCTCATTCTACTGAACCAGGCTGGTTTTGGTCCTCAGGAGCATATTTTGCTGTGCTAGAAAATAGAAAATAGTGTTTTAGTTTTTGTACATATGGCATTAATATGCCAATAGGCAATATGTATTAAATAACATAAATATGTTGAAATACCGTGCAGAGAGGAAAGCCAAAATGACAAGGGTTATGACAAAAGTGGCAGCAACAGCAATGGAACCATCTGTAGAGAAGAACATTTCACCAAAATATCAATACAACAACAAAAAAATCACTGGTGTCATGACACTTGCTTTAAGATTATGCTTTATGAAAAATGCATACACGATATAAAGGTAAAAGTTCTAATGTTCACATGCCAAAATAATAGTACTAATACTTATATTCTGATAATAATAGATTATATAGATGATATTAAAGATAATTATACTAATAATACTAATGATCTGTCATTTGCTGCCTGTCCATCTGGTTATGTGTTCTCTTTTACAAATTTTACATGGTTTCACTTCACTAACTCCCTGTTACAACACCACTTGCAGTAATGTTTTTCCATCCCCTATCTCCAGAACTTTAGTATTGCTTCCTCAATCAGGAATCTATTTCCTGTTTAAAAGGTTACTAAGAGAATTCAGTTTAGTGCAGTTGTTTTTGGTTGTGCATCTTGTTGTTTAGATCGGTTTGCTCTTTGAGATTACTCAACTGAGTTATGACACTAAACGTTGAATTTGTTTTTTAGGAGTGGCTTGCAAAACAGGAATTTCAGGGAGGTGATTTCTACAAGGTTCAGCAAAACTAGAGAGATAGAGCTTGCATTATTTTTGCAGTCTGCGGTTCCATAACCTCGACCAATAACGAAATGAGGATAATTATTACTACTGTTATTCTTCTGTTTTGTGTGGAATTTCTGAACTGCAACCATAACAAAGACAGCGAAGTCTGGTAAGAAACAGTGTGCATGTGATTTGCAATAAGCTTGTTATGCAGGTATATTTTGATGGTAACATGATCATACTGATTGGCAATGTCTATAAAAGTGTATCCCAACATTTTACAGACTATACTTACAGTGTTGTCTCACTGATGAATTAGTTTTGATGGCAGAGGAGGATAAATCTGGAAATGCAGTTATATTAAAAAACGTCAGTACATGCATTTGCAAAATCTCCCTCTAATACCACATACTATATACCATTTCCCGAAGGCATATTTGCTGTACACTCTAAAGAAATCTAGGTTATGTGTTCTAATCTAACACCGGACTAAAGGTTTTAGGTTATTTTATTCCAGTGTTGCAAAAGCAACAGGATTTAACATGATTCAAATTTAAAATTTAATGATATTGCCAATAATGTTTAATACCTCCAGATGGCAGAGTTGTACTAAACACTGGATAGATGTTGGTGGAATTGGTGCCTGATATGAAAACAATTGAATGCCATTGTTATTTATTTTATTATTTTTTATTTTGTTGTTGTATAGCTTCCGTTATGTGGAGAACAAAAAGCAAAGCGATACAAAGTGAAATACTACTCACAAGAACATGTGAAGTCATTGGTGTAATTCTACAAGAGAATCAAAAAGCATTACATTTGTACAGTACACACAATCCTTAAAATAAAGAGCAGCAAAACTATTCTGAGAAGATGAATAATTGTTACTGAACTCACAGGACAAGAGGCATGGTATCTGACTGAAAATGGACAGTAAGACACACTGATTCCATTACGGGTTACTTTCTTGAAGGGATGAGAAAAGTGTGCTAAATTTCCATCCAGGATAGCTGTGAATTGCTAGAGGAGAATTGTGAGACATACAGTAAACATGGTGAGACTTTCACAAATTGAACATTTTGCATCTTTTCACTAATGCCTCTAGAAAAAGACAAGGCAAAACTATTTTTTTAACAATCAGTGACAAATAGTATCAGAAAAACCACAGAAAAGTAGAGCATATTAAACCCACTAGGGGTGTTACAGTGATATAACTAGATGGCAATTATATTAAGGCACTTTTGGATGTTCCATATAACATGAAACCTTATGCCAGTAGTGTTTTAGTGGCCAATTTTGACCACAGTGAGTCTTTTCATGGACTTTTACCATTATCATAGGGATTTTACCCCAAATACTATCAATTCTTATATTAAAAACAAACAAACAGGAATTTAGAAAATGAGTTTTGGTTAGCGTTTTGGGAGAAAATAAAATTTAAAAAAGTGCCTTTCCATGGTACCCTAAGTGGTGACATTTAATTACTCTATTAATTATTAATTAGATTTAGGATTAAAATCAAATAAAATGCAGAATGGCCTGATAGATGGGAACTGGTTTCGATATTTACATCAATGGTCCACTCTGCATCACAGTTGCGGTCTTGCACGTTCACGGCCACAGCGTCGGGGAGGACAAAGTCATAGGATGAATCTTCTCTCCGAATTCCAACACACGTTTTACCTGCCCCGCGAATTTAATCAAATTAATGAAATCTGTCGTAATCCCAGCATTAAAACAGGTTTTGGAGTTTAGCGTCAACTAAAAATAAATCGCAACTACTCGGATTGAGCTAACCTCATACGTCTCATATATCTGACAAAATGCAAGTAGACTGTTTATTGGAATGAGCTCCTTTTAGCATAAGTCAATTTTATAAGGCACGTCATATATGAGAACTTCAATAACTCACCTTAACTTACCTTCGAATGACTTTCCCTCGATAAGAGAAAAGAACGAGAACAACGCAAGAAACAATAGAGCGGTCTGCATAATGATAATGTATATGAGAGGCTGCGGTTGAATGAGCGAAACGTGTCTATGGTGTAAACCTGTGTCACGCTCTCTTGGAAGAAACGACCACTGCGTGTCGTGAAGCCAGTGAATGAAGCATATTGGGACTGACTGCCTTATGAAAATTAGGAGGCCCCTTTCAAACAAACAGAACTTGGAACTATTTATTAAATACATTCTATCTTGCATTTGAGCTTTAGCATACTAATGATGGTTCTTTATCTTTTTATCGTCACTCTAAGCCTCTGGCAAATAGCCTACTTTTGAAAGAGTAATGACCAGGCCTGAGAGCAAAGTAGCCTAATAAACGAGAGGAAGACAGGGTAAGAAGGAATTTAACAGGAATTAGTAGCCTAATATAATATGTTGCTTTGATGAAATATTCAAGAAAAGACAACACTGAATTTGATTCTAAATTGTGTCACCTATATTAACTTTTTGTTTGAACTGTTATCAATCAATATCACATTTGCAGTCAGGATAATCAGGGAAAAAACATCCCCCTTGCTTGTTCCATATCATATGTTTTATATATGCCTATATATATATATATATATATATATATATATATATATACTGTATATATAACAGGAACTCAGGGATGTTTTTACAGGGACATATGGGGGCCCCTTTTGTTGTGAGGCCCGTTTCCAGTGAAATGGACCAAAATGGTTCAAAGACCAGTAGTACTAGACAGTGTCAAATAATGTTTATTTTTTTATTTTTATTGAGGATTCAAATCATTTTTGTCACTAGACTACCTAACTTGTAAGTAAAAAGATACCCTTGTGTGACAAACTGTCAACATCTTTTCATCCTGTTTACAAAAAGGGTTTGTTCTCCACTGAGCTGGTTTTTCATTAAAAATAAGTTACTTTAAAAAAAGCATTCTGCTGTGTTGCTTCTTATGCTCTATATACAAGTAAGAAAGCGCGCTCTGTGTGAACAACCCCTTAGAACAGTGTATATGACACACCTTTCTCAGCTCAGCAGAGCATTCATGACCTGATCTATGTCGAATGATGGAAACTCTCGAAAGGTGCAGTGCAGGGGTGCTGTAGTTTTCCAGTATCCAAAAACTTACATGAGATACATACTACAGAATGACACACGTGCTATATTCACAAACTACTAAATTAGATTTTAAGACAGAAACAGAGATCTCTCAGTCACAAAAATATATTTTGTTGTTCTCTTTGATGCTGAAGAGACTTTTCTATTATCAAATAAATAAATAAATATACTACAAGAACTAGGGATGCACGATATATCGGCCACCATATCGGTATCGGCCCATATCGGCTCATTTTTTCTGTTATCGGTATCGGCCTGATAAGAAAATTTGGCTGATATCTTAAAGCCGATAAATAATGCATTATTTCCTTCAGAGACACTTCAGATGCGCGCTGTTCGTTTGCAGCCTTTTGTGCAATTGTACGTTGTAATATTGTGTTTATTTGATGTATATCTGATTTATCTCATATAGAATGCGTTTGGTTAAGTTAAAAGAGCGCTTCAGTTTACCGGTGATCATCTTTAGCTCAGCGCACGCAGCTCAAACAGCAGTGCACAACATTAATAACTATGATTGGGAATGTCGTCTATATAAAATTCTAATGAGAACATTATTATAATAAAACGTTGTGAATTCTTTGGGTTTAGTTGCCGTGTTTCAGCGCGTTGTTATGGGAAGAGCGCATCCACAACAGGATCACACATTCTGACTATAGCATGCAATAACTGCGTCATTTTGTACATATATAAGTTGTAATATTATGTTTATGTTGTATTAATATTAATCTCAGGATGCATTTCCTTGAGTTAAATAAGCTGCCAGCAAAACGCTTCAGTTTACCGTGTTCATTCAGCTCTTCAGCTTCAGCACGTGCAGCTCAACGGCTGCTATTTAAAACAGTGGTATTAATTTGTTACTTTTTCAAAATCATTGATATATTATTAATAACAACAACCACTTGTATTTTTCTCTTATTATTTTCATCAACAATATGGTTTAGTAATTAAAATCATTTAATTATTGTCCGTGCAGAGGCTATTCCGTTTTATTGATCTATGGCGCATTCATTTTGATTCTTTACACGTGTAATGATGTCCAGTGACTTGTTTGCATTATTTATGCATAATTTTATTTATTTGTAAGACTTTTTTATGACTAAATTTGGTAATGGGAGAGTAAACATATTTTTAAAACGTACACCGTTCAAACTAGGCTGCTTATGTTGAAGTGTTTGGGATGTGGCTTTTAATGATGAGACCTTTTTTGTAATCAGGCTCTCAAAAAGTATATAACAATTTGGATATAGATTTATCGGCCAACATATCGGTTATCGGCTTTCAAAAATAAAGAATAATCGGTTATCGGTATCGGCCAAAATTTTCATATCGGTGCATCCCTAACAAGAACCATGGGCCAAGATATTTCTTTTACTAATATATTATTTTCTATTGAGGAGTCAATAGCAATAGAAGTTGCCAATGACAAGCATTTTTCATATTATTTACAAACATTTTGAAATCCAGTATTTAGTTGCTGCAACTAAGCAACTAAAAGACAATCTTGGCTGACCCATTGCTAACCTATGCAAGAATTCCCAAGAACTGATCTCAATTTATTAGTTACATGTCCTCTCACACAATGGAATATCAGGCACCTCACTAAAAAGGGAATATCTGCAGCATATGTGGGTAAATATAAAAGTACAGAAGCTGACATCGCAGTCAGCCGATTTAATATTGTATCGTATTGCTTGTAAGCACTGAAAAATGGAGAGACATGCTCTGACCAAACAGATCCGGTGTGAATGGCTGGTGACAAAGTGCACAACACTGAGATAACTGTTCTTGGTCACTTTACATGGCAGTCAGAGGACTTGCTGCATAAGGTTAATTTATGATTGTTTATTCAGCTCTTTTATCAGACATGGGATTGCCTTAGATAAGAACACCTGATCAAAACCTTAAATATCTGTTTTAATGAGTCACAGTTGTTCTTATCATTGGTTGTGAAATCTATAAGTCAGATACAGCACTGCTAGGTTAAAGTAAATATTTAGTTAATTTATATAAATGATTTTTAGTTATTTATAAAGTTTTTAATTTTATTTGACGGCAAGTTCATTAAAACATAAAACATTAGGAAGTGACAGGAGCAATATAATCAGACTCAGTGTGCTTGGCATGGGAAGAAGAAAAATTATCAGTACACTATAAACTCTATTTCAGTTCAAAAGATGACAGTTTTTACATTTGCAAAGTGATGTTAAAGAAAAACAGCTTGTCTCCTCTGTCGGACATTAGTTTCACCTTCCAAACACGTGGTACAACCATCACTCCCATTATGATTGGAGCGGTTCACACTGCAAGTACTGTTGCAGCTGATTTGTGAGGAGGTGCATCATTTCTACTGTCAGTGAAATATAAGCCTGCGGTGGGTTACATAAATCTACAGTGAAGTGTTAGCCTTGTGGTAGAAATTAAATATTGTGATTTGTTCTGTCACTATGGGCCAACACATTAATCCTCAAATTGGTCTGGAGGGAACTGTAATTTGATATAATGTAACTACTTTGGATTTACACAACTCTAATAAACTACAAAAGCAGATCATAAGAAAGGGAAATATAAACATCAATAGAGGACAGATGTATAAACACCCATCTCTAAAATAACCTGCTGTTTAGTGAATGCAAAAATCCTTTGTCATGTTTTTTGTGTGCATCTTTAAAGGCTGCTGGAAAGTAACTTCCTCTGGCAGGGGGATGGTAACAAAACAGAGAAGGTTTAGCAAGTTTTGGCACGTTTGGTTCACAGAAAATCCTGAAAGTGTGTGGGTGTTCTGTATACGACTACATTCTGCTGCTGTGTGGACTTAAAAGTCACCACAGACAAATCTAAATCAAAAACAGATTTAAAGGGATAGTTGAAAGAGAGATTAATTGTACAGTGTAGGGAGCTACATGGATTATAAATTTATAAGATTATAAGATTATGAGTTTGTGAGATCACGATGAACTAAGATAAGTGACATAATTTTAATTGAATAAACTTCTGCCAACCAGCTGATTTTTCTTGGTGTTTTAAATCCAGATAATCACGCAATTATTTGCTTTAAATTGCATGCTGGTCTGTTATTGTTGTGACATTTACCCACCCCTAAACATGATGTTGAACAAAGCAAACAATTCTTGGTCACTTTACATGTCAGTCAGAAAGCTTCTTGCTGCCAGATTAGTTAGTCTTTGGGCAGCTGAAGTGGCTATAGAGCCCAGACATGGCATTGCTGCTTTAGACAAGAACACCTTATTAAAACCTTAAATATCCATTTAATGAGTCACAGTTATTCTCATTATTGGGTTGTGAAGGTCTGTGAAGCAATTACGGCACTGAGAAAACAAAACAAAAGAAAAAAAAAACAAAGACTGCCTGCGTTTATACAGATTGTATGTTAATTCAGATGGTGTCAGGTTGTGGCATGCTGGGCTACAAAATATGCCTCCAGATCTTATAAAGAATCATTTTAATTTGATATCATAGCCATATGTATTATAAAACTATATGCAAACAAAATATACAAACAAAGTGCTGCAGAGTTAGGCGATTATGTAAAAGTAAGTGGGTGAACTCCCTTTTGTAGAAAGAAGTGTTGGGTCGTTACTCATTTTGCTTCATGTGACTCGTTAACACTGACACTCACAAAAGGTAGAGGTTGACTTGGGCCATGTTAGAGGTGAGTGTATTCTTAAAAAGAATTAGTCATGTAGATTAAGCACAATATGTTTAATGCTTGCAACTGAACACTGCATCAAGTAATCCAAATGGCTTTATTATTTATATTCATTCAAATTATATGACATATTTATTATAGAAGAGTTATACATTATTTATAAGCTTTTATATTAAGTATTTGCAAGTTTTTTCCCCAGTGAAATGTATGACTAACACTTCCTTCTTGTAACATCTACGATCAAAATTAGGTCAGTCTCAGAAAAGCATACTCACTGGCATTGAAAAAATGACTTGTGTGTTGTTAAAAAGTAAACTACACTCTTAAAAATAAAGGTGCTTCACGATGCCATAGAAGAACCTTTTTGTCTAAATGGTTGCATAAAGAACCTTTAACATCTGAAGAACCTTTCCGTTTCACAAAAGGTTCTTTGTAGCGAAAGAAGGTTGTTCAGATTACAAAAAGGTAATGAAGAGATGGTTCTTTAAAAAACCTTTGACTGAATGGTTCTTTGTGGAACCAAAAATGGTTCTTCTATGGCATCGATTGAAGAACCCTTTGAAGCACCTTTATTTTTAAGAGTGTATTATCAGTGAATATGAGGCTATAGCAATTCTGAATGAACCAACAAATACATGTGTGGATGGTGAATTGCTACAGATTTTTATGATCTTATCTAGGCTATATTCATAGTTGAATTAAAACACTGTAAACATTCACTTCTCCCTTTACCGTAGGCTAATGATATTTATTGATGTTTTATTTCCAGGAACAACTTTCACTGGAGAGTTGGACTTTGAACCCTGACAGCAGCTGACTTCACCTTAGTAAGGCTATGCAACTCTGTTGTGTAACACAGAACTGCAAATCTGTACTCACTCACACACACACACAAAAAGAATAAAACTTCTATCTATTTTTTTTCTGACCTGTGGATTACTATGCTGTTTGGAAGAAGAAAATGTGTGGACTGTACTTGCCTAAAAATGGACACCAGATTGGTAAGTGCATTTTATTGAACATTTGACCTGTAGAACATTAGTGTATTATGTGTTGATAGAGGATGACCTCAAAGACCACTTAAGTGTAAGAAAGCCAGCAGGGGGTGTGTTTGCACTTTTAGTGTTTTCAAGGTGTCAAAAGCTTTATGGTGCTTCAAGAAAGAAGCACCATAATGTATATGCATATAAATCAATGCAATAAATCAATAAATCCAAGTGGGTTTCATCATTGACTATTTTTCATTATTATATTAATTCAAATTATATGACATACTTGCAATAGATGCATTATACGTTTTTCATTTTTAAGCTTTTATATTTAGTATTGGCAAGTGGAAAGTACTCATGTGAACATATATGGAGTATTTTTTTACCAGCCGAATGTCACAGTATGACTAACACTTTGTTTTGTAACATTTGTATCCTTGGACGAAACTAGAGTAACATACTTGGCCGACTGGCTGTGAAGTCCTCACAAATTGTTAGATAAAACATGTCTTATAATCAAGACAATGGAAACAGATAACGTCTTGGCAGAAAATCCTTTTTTCTATGGATTTTTTTTTCTCACAGTGCATGGGTTGCTAAAGAGTCATGATTTTTAATAGTATTTTCCTTGTTCATCAAGTCATCTTACAATGTTGACGTGTTTTCTTGCTTTTCTATGATATGCAGAGTTTATTAATGTTATGTGCACGGTGAGACATTCTCACTTCTGTAAAGATGGTATAGGCTTACCATCTATACTCCACTCTTAAGAAAAATTGTTCTAGACAGTACCAGAAAAAGGTTATTCATCTTGTAACAATAGCAGAACCCTTTTTAGTGCTAAATAGAACTTTTTTTATAGGGTTCCATATAGAACCATGCTTTGAAAATGCTGTATAGGACCTTAATGGTGTTATAAATAACCTTTTTAATGATAGTTTTTCATTAATATTAGTATGTTAAAGGGGTCATCGGATGCAAAATTGGACTGGACTGGTGTCTTACCTTTGACCCACCCTGAGTGAGCTGTCATCAGTCCGCCATTGTGTTGACTCTGGTGCAGGAGAAGACAAGATGTCTCCGATTAAGCGATTGAGAATTGTGAATGCGCCACTCCCGATCAGCCTAAATGCATCTATGTTTGCTGGAATCATTCGTGATCCAGCCTCATCTACAGAAGAAGTGAGTATAAGGGTTTTTTATGAATCTTTGCAAATCACCTTTCCTAATAATGTGCTAATTAGCAAGTTTCATGATGAATGCTGCTAAAGTAAACAGTCTCTCTGAGAGCAGCTTGGAAGAGACTAGCAGAGCTCATTAACATTTAAAGCAACATGGACTATAATGGCTTGATTAAAACAGAGCTGATTTTGAAAGGTGTTTTTTACACTAACATTGAGAAATTTTAACCGAAGTATTTTATAGACTTTTAATTAACCCTCTTAGCGCCAAAGACAAGACGTCATACTTAATCAAATAGACTGTAGTTCCTAATATGGTGCAATATCTCATTTGTATTCCCTACCACTAGATGGCAGACATGTAGTACTTCGATTCTAGACCAAAATTACGTCACCTTCCTATTCAAAGTGTTCGAGGAATAATTATTATTAGTATTATTTGTATATATTATTTATTAATTATTTTTTACCCCTCTATCTGCCTGGTCTTATAATATATTGAAGTGTCTATTAGGGTTTTACAGAAAATCAACAACAACAACAACATCATCATCAACAACAACAAACTGTCAATTAGGTACTTTTATTTTTTTAATGACGTGAAATTGTAGCAAAAATTACAGTGATCTAACATCAGTTATTAGCAGAATACATTAATGAATGACAATGGAAATTGAACATAAATAAATGCTTAAAGAAGTAAAACAAAATAGAACATAAAATAGTGTATTGAAGACCAAGCTCCAGTAAAATATATTCACAATCCTCTATGATGAAGTTAATCATTATGTGAATTTTGGTGTGATTGAGTGGCAGTTTCTCTCTGCAGGTGATGAGGTTGTAGGATGTGACAGCATCTGAAATGCACAATTGAGTTTAGATATACAGTTCGTCTCCTTTCATTTGTGTATGTGAAAACAATTGTTTATGAAGGCCAAAAGTAGTATGTGAGCACTTCACAATGTTAAAAGGAAAAAAGAAATATAAAGTCATGGGATAGCTGGGTATGTTTATGCATAAACCCTAGTAATAAAAAATAAAAACAAAATGGACCATAAATTCAATATCTCTGTTACTTAGTGAAGAAGAAGAGGAGAGAATCCTTATCTGAATAGAGATGGTCACACTTACATGTTCTCTTAAACTAAAAAGAGAAAAGACAAAGGAAACCAATTAGCATTTGAAAGTTATCATTTATAGACATTTTAAGAAATTATTTAAGACCAAGTTTCAGTGAAACAATCACAATCCAATCAATATGATCCCTTTATGTTCCATCATTTCGGTGATTAAGTGGCGATTTTGCTCTGCAGATGATGAGGTATTGAAGTGTCTATTAGGGTTTTACAGAAAATCAACAACAACAACAACATCATCATCAACAACAACAAACTGTCAATTAGGTACTTTTATTTTTTTAATGACGTGAAATTGTAGCAAAAATTACAGTGATCTAACATCAGTTATTAGCAGAATACATTAATGAATGACAATGGAAATTGAACATAAATAAATGCTTAAAGAAGTAAAACAAAATAGAACATAAAATAGTGTATTGAAGACCAAGCTCCAGTAAAATATATTCACAATCCTCTATGATGAAGTTAATCATTATGCGTATTTTGGTGTGATTGAGTGGCAGTTTCTCTCTGCAGGTGATGAGGTTGTAGGATGTGACAGCATCTGAAATGCACAATTGAGTTTAGATATACAGTTCGTCTCCTTTCATTTGTGTATGTGAAAACAATTGTTTATGAAGGCCAAAAGTAGTATGTGAGCACTTCACAATGTTAAAAGGAAAAAAGAAATATAAAGTCATGGGATAGCTGGGTATGTTTATGCATAAACCCTAGTAATAAAAAATAAAAACAAAATGGACCATAAATTCAATATCTCTGTTACTTAGTGAAGAAGAAGAGGAGAGAATCCTTATCTGAATAGAGATGGTCACACTTACATGTTCTCTTAAACTAAAAAGAGAAAAGACAAAGGAAACCAATTAGCATTTGAAAGTTATCATTTATAGACATTTTAAGAAATTATTTAAGACCAAGTTTCAGTGAAACAATCACAATCCAATCAATATGATCCCTTTATGTTCCATCATTTCGGTGATTAAGTGGCGATTTTGCTCTGCAGATGATGAGGTTGTGGGATGTGATACATCTGAAATACACAGTTGAGTTTAAAATTACAGTGTGTTTATGTAAAAACAATTATGTTTATGAAGGCCAAAAGCAAAAATGGACAGTATGTGAGCCCTTCACAATCTTAAAAGAAAAAAGTGATATAAAGTCATGGGATAGTTTTAATATTTTTTGTTACTGGGTATGCTTATACATAAACCCAAGTAATAATAATAAAAACGAACAAAATGAGTTATAAATTAATTTACTCTTGGAGTCTCTTTTACTTACTTTGTGGAGGAGAGAAGTTTCCACAGCTTAGCAGAGCTGCACACACTTATATGTGAACAACAACTAAAAAAGAGATAATAACATGTTTGTTTGGAAACCAGTTACAATTTTAAAGTTAAATTTGTATTTGAATGAAATAATTTACCCGTTGAGAGTGTGTTGACAGTCTGTGTAGTTGGATCACTGAACTCCAGAAAATCAGTAATGAGGTGCTTTGACAGTTACAGATTTGAAAAACAAAAGGGCGGGAACAAAGAACCATATCAGCATAAAAGGGTTCTTCAGATTGCTATGGTTCTAAATAATACCATTACTGCATGTAAAGAACCTTTAAAGAACCATCTTTTTTTAATAAATACTCCCTGAACAGAGACGAAGGGTAAAGTGAGTGTTAATTTACATTGTTATACATAATGTTCTCAAGTTCTAATCAACATTTCTGACTGATTTTGAATATCATCAAAAAATGTAATGATAAACTGAACTACAAAATATTACAACTGTCATTAGTTTAACACTGCAGAGAGATTTTATTTCATAACATAACTTAGAAAATGATGCACTAAGGGCTCTGAGTAGAAAGAATGAATACCACAACACTCACAAACACAAAGTTGAGCAGGTTTCCACTGACAAATTGTAGTATGAAGAGAAAAAATGTGGTGTGATTATTTCTCTGGCAAATGAGTGGCTGAAGTCAATGCTGAATGACAGGCTCATTACAGTTCACTCAATTCTGCATCATTTCCTGCTGGTGATATGTGAGGTGATCTTTCTGGCACATGATTGGCTGCACCAGTAGTTGGACAGTGTTTAATTCTGATGTTAATATGGTAGCAGCTGTAACCTCGGAGATGGGCTGAAACCTCATGTGCATGGGACAATTCCAAGCACTCAACTACTGTAGTAGGCTAATGTTTGTCAATTACTGTTGTGACAAAATATGACGTGTTTGAAGAGAGTATCTTTTTCCGTGCTTAAGGCCTGTGATATTCCTTGTATAAATGATATAAGCATGTATGTAGGGTCACATGAATAGTACTGTCACTAAAATTGCGATCAACAAAGTAAACTTACAATATGTTGATCTTTTCTTGCTGCTGGTAATATGTAAACCATGATGTAAACAGAACTGTTTCCCAGAATTTTGATTGTCTGATCAAGTTTTCCAGCAAAAACATCTGTGCAGATTCCTAAAGGTTTTGAAACAACTAGCCAATGAAACAGGAACTGGTGGTTTTAGCCAGTTCTGGTCATTTAAATGTACAGTATACATCAGGCCATGAACTGTCTGTGGGTGTGCTGAATACACCACCCTGCTTAATTTGTTAACGTGTTAGGTATCATGAAGTAACTAATAAACAATACATTTACTCTCGTCATCTCAGCTGCTGACTTTCTAAACTGGTCTGAGGTGTAGAAAAATAAATCAGGTACACACTCAAATGTTCTTATATAATTTTATTAACAGAAATGCCCCAAAACATTTTTGCACCTAGACAGAAAGGGTTTAAGTGCTTAAAAGGAAGAAGTCATTACAAAGAGTAGAGTGAAGCTGTGCAATACAATAGCTAAGCAAATATTCCTAACAGGGCTGTCCTTAGCTGACGCGGGCCCCCCTCGGTCTGTTCGCGATCATGTTCGCACCAGTTGCACCACCCTAAGGATGGCCCTGATTACTAAACATCATTTATGACATATATAATGCTTTAAACAGACACTTGATACAAATCTGAACAAATCTAGCAGTGCCAAGTATCCTTTCCCACAAAGGTACACGTAATATGTATTAGATATGACAGGTAATGTATTAGATTTGTGAACTCACTGGCACAGCATTTCATTTCATTTTGCTTCCACAGCAGCAATTTAAACAAATACTTGCCCTGGTCATACAGTTACTTATGTTCGCACATATTTTATGCTCACCATAGTGCCATGTAATCCACCAAGTTCTTTCCCCACAGTCTGACTAAACCAGTGATAGATATATTAATAATACAGTTAAATATATTAAGTTATACAAGTAATATATATATATATATATATATGTTAAATATACTAAGTTACAATATAATTCAGTGTATAATTCATATACATGTATAGAGTTAAACATACTGTATGTGCCCATTTGCATAACAAACACAATGTATTTTTATGATAACATATTTTCAATATAATTGTTTTCAATACTTTGATTTCATTTGTCAGCAGCAATTTAAACAAATACTTGCCCTGGTCATACAGTTACTTATGTTCGCACATATTTTATGCTCACCATAGTGCCATGTAATCCACCAAGTTCTTTCCCCACAGTCTGACTAAACCAGTGATAGATATATTAATAATACAGTTAAATATATTAAGTTATACAAGTAATATATATATATAT